CCAAACCCTATCATACACATATTTTAATTTGGTTTTAGGATAAACTCTAAGAGTATAACAATGATATTCAGTTGTCCCTATGCCGTTATTCCTCCTCATTCACAAATAAGCAGTTTTATTAGAATTTCCATCGTGTGAATATGTAACACTCCCAAAGCATTATCAACACCTCTTAGATTGCAGTCAAATTCAACTAGAGAATATGTAATTAAATCACAACAATGACATGGACCAATGATTTACTAGTAAGCTGAGATTAGTAAAAAAGCATTTTAGATTCATGAAATATTCAAGGGGCTCTACTAGGGTTTCATACATCCTTGGAGTTCTTCAGAGTCAAATTCCTGTCGCAACCGGCGTAAATTTGTGCAGCGCCTATTTTGTTCCTCCAACTTCCGCAAAATTGTCTATGCGCATGTCCATCGTAAGTCAGCTATTGCGTTTGATTTTAATTCAACCTCATACTGTTTTGTATTTGACCTTTGATAAGTTGATTTTTGACTCCCTAGAAAGCCAATAAAGCTGTGTAGTTTGAAGTAGACGCTATCTCATAATGTCTTGTATTTTTTTGAGGCAATGTACAATCTGTTCATCAAATTTGGTTTCAACTACCATCTCAATTACTTCTTCATTACTAATTGTATAATTTGGTTTACTTGCCCAAAATAAACCGTTTCTTTCCACAGCCTTAAACAGCTTACACTTTCGATCTCATAAGTTTAGGCAATTTTAGAGACCAGTCGCGGAAAGACAACACTCCAGATGCGTATCTGCAGACATATTTGTAGAAGGACTTCTACATTTAATTCGGCTTGTATTCGATTAGGTTGTAGTGTAGTGGACAACTTTTTTCCAGCTTCAATAAATAAAGGTGTGCTGTCATGCGTCCCCACCTTTTCCTTTTCTAACACAAGACAGAAACGAAAGGTGTGTTGAACCAGTTTGAAAAGTGTTTTCTTTAAATGTAAACAATTTATATATAAGAAACTTGGCGTACACATGAATGTATTCCTTAAAACGATGCTTAGAATGTGGGAATCGTTCAAAGCCTAGCATTTTGAGAACTTAAGTAGACAAACTTGATGTAAGCATTTTGTAATCTTATCCTTTAATGGCATTGGATTTATATATAATCACTCCAATACTATGGGTGATTGTACTAAGAATTCTTAGGCAGATTGAATCCAATGGTGGAAGTTATTTTAAATTCCTAAACTTCTTTAAAGGGATTCAATGCTAATCCTGCACATTTTTTAACAATTGAGTGCATTCTACTGTATTCTATGACATTGTTAGAGGATTTGAAAGGTGGTCGCTCTAAAGAAAAAAGTAATTTACACAGAACAATCGAAACCTACCAGTTTACGCAAAGATTAGGCCTAAGCCAAATGCCCCGTCAAGTCATTCATTGCAAATCTTTCCAAAGTATGAGGACATTATAGAGAATTAGTCAAGCATTTTAAAAAAAGGGGCTTTCGACATGGTTCGCTATTGCTTACACCCGTTAAAATGTGCATTTAAATTAAACCGCCAGCCCTTATTGCAAATCTTTTTAAATTTTACAATATGCATAACTTCATCCTAAATAAATGAAAACATTTAAACTGAACGACTCTTGCTATCTATTTCGTTGTCAAGGGAGCCACAGGCATTGTCTTTTTAAAATATGTGGATTTCTGATATTTCCGTGACCAAGGAGACTACCTGTGAGAAAAAAGTGTTTAAAGATCTATAATAATATTCTTTGGTGGATGTTATAGTAATTAAAACAAAAAATTGCGGCTGCATTTCACTTATATTTTAGCTAAATCACAAGAGATTCAAAAGCTCTTCCTCCAAATATGACTTTTAGATTGATTCCAGCCTCCAAAAGTTCTGGTAAATCCACTAAAAAAACCTCATATTAAAATGGTAAGTGTAAAGTCTTTTAATCTTTTCGGGAAACATAAGTTAATGGCACCTAGAGGAATTATGTAAAAAACTGCTTTGCAGCCTCAAATCCCTGAACTTTTAAACACCTTTTAAAAACCCTTTTTGATAGGGAATCACTTACACTAGCAAGAAAGACGTAAACTTAACAACGGGATTGACTGTCCTCACATTCCTCCTTTATAACTCAGCCTTAGACACCTCCATTTCTATCATCTTCGTTTTATTACCAGGTTGTCTGTTCTGGTTCACATGTTATTGTCTGTTGCAATGGCAATAAAATCATGAAGAAACATTATAGGAAGAATATAGTGAATGAGGATGGAACAAAGCGTCGCTCTACCCCCTCATGACTAAATTGCAAAGCTATTCACTTGAGGTCTTTTGCTGTCAACCGAGACGACCGATTAGTCCTACCTGCCCCTGAAGAATGCTTTTCACAGGTCAAGTTGATTCGTGTCAGTCTGATCACAATCTTAGTTGTTTTGCCAACGCAGTACACTCATACTTAGAATACTGAGAGATTTTTGCGAAAAAAAAGTGATGGGTGACTTAAAAGTGTGGAATGGATGGCAAGTGGGTTGCTTGACGCATAGAAGCTAGGCCAACTTTAGTAAACAAACAGATACCATTTTTCTTCTCAACTGAACCAGTTGGCAGTCCATTGGTAATAAAGAATAGCAAACTGAGAATATGTAGGCCTACTGTCATTCATAGTTAATGCCTGTTACACCCCAGTGGCTTAGTGCCTTCAACGACTTGACCATTTTTACAAATGTAAATGATCACTCAGTATAACTCTTACATGAAGAAAAGTAGTTCATGATGAATAAATTTTGAGCTGTGTAGAATAATAACAACGTACTATTCTTTGATAACAAGAAATGAGGCTCGTTTCGATCCATCTGTATAGTCTATCTACCTGTAAGTTACCCAGCAGCATGGTCAGTTTCTCTTATCCAAAATATTTCTTTTTGGCTTTCTTTAATGCCCTGCCCTGCGCCTTCTCTAAATATTGCACATCAACCCATATGATTAGCCCAGAAGCTGAAAAGTTCAATTTCCATCAAATTCTAGTCAAGGCCTTACAAAATAATGATTTAACGCAGCAGAAAAATCGTGCAGAGGACATTGCTGTTGTCAATAGTTTGATCCACTTATATACCTTACAATGCCTAGATATAAGAAATTACGCAAGCCTTACATATTCCTATCCGTAACGAGCTGCCTTTGCGGAGATTTTCCGTTAGGAATTAGGACGCAGCCTTTTATAGTTTTAGTGTTTTTTGTCATTATGACACTTTAAAGGATAGTACTTTGAACAAACCTTAAAAATGGCGCTGGTCATAAGTTTGACTGGCGACTTTTGCCGTTTGAATGCTGATTTGTGCTTTTATTGCGTCGCTAAAGGTACTTCGATGGTGTAAATTACTTTTTATTAGTAAGTTTTTAAAGCATTAAATTGGACAACGATTAACCCTAATTTGATAGTCAAGGGCAATTGTGGTATAATTTGCAGCATTCCAAAGACCCATTTTACCCCATTTCTGGAATAATTATTTAAGCACTGTAGGATATTTACCTTGGTAAATTTATAAAGTTTGTAACCACTTCATTTTTCCTTCAAAACGCCATACAAGCAATAAAATGGTTACTGGAGGGTAAATAACGTCAGTTCTTCCTTTAATGTCTAATCTAGTTTTCCTTTTAGATTCCACGAAGTAAGAAGCACCCCATGGTATGCTTAATTTGAAGGAGAGATGAAAGAGTTTTTGCTTTCAAATTCTTAATAATTCATTTGCTAGACCACCGAGACTCAAATAGCCTCCCCCGAAAAAAATCTTGAAGAGTTCAACTTCATACTTTGGCAAACTCTTCAAATCATCATTTCTTAAAAAATTCAGTGGTGATTTTTCCATCCTTGTACATAGATTGTGCCCAACTGCAGCACTTATTCGTTGGTGCGTGCTCACTTTTGCTTCTATGAGGAAAAGAAAGGATTTTTTCTTTGTGGCAATGTGAGATAAATACATATGACCATGCCCCAAATTCGTGGCATTAACTTACCAATAAGAAGTACTTGTTTTACTTCAAAATCCTAAGCTTACTTAAAAAAGCTATGTATTTTGTTTCATTTGATGCAAAAATGGTTCCTGTTTCAAAGAAAAATTGTCATGCTATTAGTTAAGAGTCATACTTTAAAACTTTTAAGGTTTAAAACAAATTTTTTTTATAGTCAAAGCCTAATTTAGGCATGCCTAATATCCCGATGCCAGACTCGATTTTAAAATGAGCATTTATGACATCAGTTTGTTTTCCCACCTCCAACAATTGGCAGTTAGCGAACGTGTCATGATTACCGTGTGTTTGTTAAAGTGTGAGTCAAAAATTTCTAATAGATATGATTTAATTTTTAACAACATTTTTTGCCTTTTTAAAACTACTTTGCTGAAAATTACTTCATGAGGATATGCTTTAATTTAAAAGCTAATTATCCACTGGAATATAATTATTCTCTCTATGGCGCTAACAACTTTTACTCTGTTCTGGAATCCTTGATAGCCAAATAAAAGCTTGATTTTTCGTTTATAGGAAAGCAAATCCCGAAATTTCTCTTTCTGTGCTTGATTAGATGCTTTCTAAAGTTTATAACCTGTCATATAGTCTATGCGACAGCTTTGGTCTTATGTACTCAACGGAGCAATAGTTTTACCTGATATTAGTGATTCTGTCATTGGTGTATACAAATCACACGGAATGTTTACTTTTCGCCGGGGATTACTTCATTTTGCTTCCAGACGCATTACGAACGTCAGTCAAAAAGCGTGAGCTGTTGCTGCTGCTTTATGTTAATAGAGCATTTAGATTGAAGGACTACTTTTGGAAGATATTTATCCCATTCCTCACATTTCATACATCCTTTAGAGCATGTATGCCTACTACCTTCGCCTTCTCACAGGTTCGTAAGGGATGTTATGCATCCTGCCTGTCACTTTTTAAAAGACACAAATGCATTGCTGTTGTTGTTAACGTCTATATAGATCAGACATGTTAACTGTTGTTGAGTATTAATGCCTTTTAAATTAAAGCCTTGTCATCAGAAATTTGCATTTTGTTTACACCTATGTATAATTTTAAACTCGAGTATTTGTATACACCTCAATTTTTCTCTGCATAAAACAAATATTCAATTAGATTGGTCGCAATGCGTTACGGCTGCAAACAAACAGTAGTACTTTACAGTGCTTTAAATATATTTATTGCCCTCCAACAGCATTGCTTGGCAAATGAAAGCCCGATGCTGACAATTTATAAGTTATTTCAACATCATCCATAAAACCCATGTAGCTAAATGAGTGAAATCTCAATGTACACACGTACAAGATGTGATTTGCCAAAGATATTATAATCGTCACTAGATGCGAAGCTGCATAAATTTTAGAGTCATTGACAGTAGATTCTAATTAAATGCTCAAGGATTTAATGCTGGGAAACAAAATCCTTTATTCGCTTATAAAATAAATCGCTTGGATCACTCCAAAATAAAATTCCTTAAGGAGTCTTTTTTTTCAACAACAAAGGGCACACCTAAAGACTAAGAACCCTTACGACAAATAATTGCTTTTCTCAACCACAAATTGTTAATCCTTACTTCATAGAGCTTGTCTTATGGTCCAGTTATGGTTAGCACGTTAGATTACCTTAAATTGTATCATTCCGCCACCTTACAATATTTTAATTTAAAAAACCGAAAATTCAACTTAGCTTCTCGCTTTATCGATTAAAAGAAACCTGGTAAAACATAAGACATGCATTCATATTGTAGCACAAATTAAGCAGGGACTCAATCTTACAGAATAAAAAAGTTTTGCGTCATTATGCATTGTCTTAAAATTACAAAGGAATTTGATTTTTGGTTTTGGTAAACACTGGTCATCATTAAACAGGGTAAAGATGAAGCGCAAGAATTCAGCTTAATGATTACAGGCAGTAGTTATAGTGCCTACATATCTAAGGGTCCCAAAGGCCCCAGCATAAGACAGTGAATGAAAATATGGTAGTCTCTAATTTGTGTTTTTCCTTAACAAACCGAGCAGAGCCAATTACTTTGGATGGACTGTTGTAAATAGTATAGTTTTAATTCCTTATCTATGTATGACAAATCTTTCTGATGGAAATTCTCGTTTGTTGGCTGCAATAAATTTGTATCTTTCTACTCTGAATACAATTTTAACTCTAGAAAAGGCCGAGTTTTAATTTTTCTTACGAGTTAATGCACTTATAGTACAAAATGGATATTTCGTTCCCACAGAGGCAATAAATTTAATTATGATAACAAACAACTCTCTTATCATACTAAAAAACTAATAACTTGGTTGAGAACTTAATCTCCTTCTTTAGTCGCCTCCTCAGAAATTTGTACGTCTGCAAATTGTTCAAAGCTGTGAGTCTCTTAAAGTGAAGTGAATTAATTAGTTAATGTGGTAATAAAAGTAAAAAGATCTTAAGGTTTAGAGTGGATATCAATGAAGCAGACCAGAGTTTGTCATAGAATGCTTTCTAAGAGGACGCTGGCTACAATTTTTACCCAGTAATTTGAGTGTAATGCAACGCAGCAATTTGTTAGTATATGCGCTAAATTTTTATGTCATATTTATAAGAGTTAAAGATGTATACTTTGTTAATTTTAGCATTTAA